CGTAGGCGTGTGAGCTGCCGCCGCGGCGCGCGCACGCCCAGTCCCAGTCCCAGCCGGAGCGAGCGAGAAGCGCACCGCCGCCTCCGGCTGGGACTGGGACTGGGCGTGCGCCCGCCGCGGCGGCAGCTCACACGCCTACGGCGGGCATGCCGAGGAGCGGCTCGGCACGCGCGAAGCGTGCTAGGGGCGGCTCTCCCGCGGTCGGGGCCGTGTTGGGCTCGTCGCGCGACTGCGACAGGTCGCTGCTGCCTGCGAGGCTGCCTGCGAGGCTGCCTGCGAGGCTGCCTGCGAGGCTGCCTGCGAGGCTGCCTGCGAGGCTGCCTGCGAGGCTGCCTGCGAGGCTGCCTGCGAGGCTGCCTGCGAGGCAGAGGCTTGCGGGTGAGCGGAGCGGCGGAGCTGCCCGGAGGGCGATGCTGCGGCGTCACTCCCTCGCGTCTACTTCTCGGCTTCACCTCGGGCTACATCTCGGCTAGATCTCGGCTAGATCTCGGCGATGGCCTCCCCCGCGCGTTGCCTCGGCGACCAGCGCCGCGAGGTGAGCTCGCCCGCCTGCTCCGGGGGAGTGCTGGGTGTCTCTGAGGCCGCCGCAGGGGAGCGGTTAGGATCGGGGGGGGGAGGGGGGGAGGGGGGGAGGGGGGGTGAGGGGGGGGGGAGGGCAGGTTCCGCGCTCGCCGGGCTACATCTCGCCGGGCTACATCTCGCCGGGCGGGATATTGATCTCGCCGGGCGGGATATTGATCTCGCCGGGCGGGATATTGATCTCGCCGGGCGGGATATTGATCTCGCCGGGCGGGATGTTGATCTCGCCGGGCGGGATATTGATCTCGCTGGGCGGGATGTTGATCTCGCCGGGCGGGATATTGATCTCGCTGGGCGGGACCAGTGCACGCGGGCGCTCGAGCGGCAGCAACTCTCGGCTCTGTCTCTCGGCTCTCTCTCGGCTCTCTTCTCGGCTCTCTCTCCCGCCGGGCGGGAGATGCAGCAGCCGCTCGAGCGGGAGGTGCGGCGGGTCCGGATCGACGGGGAAGGAGGCGCACCTGCCGAGAGAGAGCCGAGATCTGGCCGAGATTGGGCCGAGATTGGGCCGAGATACAGCCCAGATTGGGGCCGAGATGGGGCGTTGGCGCGACGGGAGACAGGGAGGCAGCTGTGTGCGTGCGTGCGTGCGTGCGTGCGTGCGTGCGTGTGTATGTGTATGTGTGTGTGTGCGGATGAGAGAAAGCGCGGGGGCGGGAAGCCAAAGGCGCGCCCTTTCGGAGTAGCGCGAGCCACGCGCCGCACGAGCGCCTCCTGCGGCGCCTGCTGCGAGGCGGCCCCCCTGCTGGCGGCCCCCCTGCCCTCTGCTGGCGGGCGGGCGCAGCCGTGCTGCAGGGCGGCAAACTTGTCTCTGACAGCAGGCGCTTCCATCACACTCCTGCCGCGAGGGAGCGAGGTATTTGGAGGGAGCTCGCTCCACCCCGAGCACGCCACCCCCCTTCCTTCCCCGCTCTCTCCAACGCCTCCCTCTCTCTTCTCTCCCTTCGCTCACCGAGGAGCGCCGAGCACGCCCGAATCATCGGCGCCCTCGTAGCGGAAGGCCAAGACCCGCATGTTGAACTGGCCGAGGACGTTGTTCACCATGATCTGGTAGTCCTCTTTTCCGGGCAAGATTATGGCGCCTGGAGGCACGGTAGCGAGGCCGTTGCCGGAGGAGTCATGCAAGCGGGGGCCTTTCTCTCCCGGGATATACTGTCCGTGCCGCCTTGGAGGCGCTCGAGTACGTTGGTTTGCTCAAAAGCAGCCACACAGCTCGCGTCGAGCACGGCTCCGATCGAGCGCGCCCCATCCGACAGCACACAATTCTGCGCACCGTCCTGCCGGGCACAAAGGTCGAGCACCTACGAGGACGCTGGGCCGTTGGACGGAATGCGTGCAATACCCTACCCCCGAACCAAAGTTGCCTGCACGTAGTGCGGCTGCACTGCAGCGTTTGGGGCCGCCATGACCGCTTTCTCTATCCAAGGGTTGTTGAGCATGCGCGCCATGGAGTGGTAGGCCCGGCAGCGCCATTTCCCAGGATTGACTTAAGAATTCAACAAAAAGAACTCTCTCGCCGCACTGGGCACGGGACTGGCGCCATACCCGAAAGAAAGAGGAGGGAGCTCGCGGAAGAGGTGACGAGTGAACTACAGGTAGTGGGGAAGGCAGCCTCGATTGCCATACAGACATGGGTGCGAAACAACGACAAGACCAAGGCACGGGCAGAGGAACGAGAGAAGAATATAGGGTGGATAAAGCGCCTGTTCACGGCATGGAGGGTGAGCCACACCGAACGTACCGAGCGAAGAGCCGAACGGAAGGAGGACGGGGAAGATGACTCCGAGGAGGACGAACCAGTGGAAATTCAGTTGTCAGATGTCACGATGCATCCGAAGGGGACCCCAGCGCCGGCATCATCCGTAGAGGCACGAGTGTTCGAAGAGAGAGTGGACCTGAGCAACAACATGACCTGTAGGCAAATGATCGGAGTGGGAGTCAGAAACGTGGTCCTTGCGCGAGGGGAGCTCGATAGACTCGAGGGGCCAGGATATGCAGCAAGGAGGGCGGAGCTGCGCCGAAAGGCGAAAGAAGCCGAGAGAACAAGGGAACGGCAGGCGGCGGCGGCGCAGGACGAGGCAGAAGAGAATGACGCGACAGAGGAGGAAGTGACAAGGGAGAGAACGACGAGAGTGGGACGGCCGCGAGGTGGCATGAAGGTTGCAGCGAGAATCGGCGAGAGACTGCGAAAAGAGATAGGAAGAGGCAGACCCCCTAGGGTGGGCGACGGCTAGCGCTCCACACTCCTCTCCTTAAAATCCCTGTGTGGTGGCGGCGTGCCGTCCTCCCATCCCTCCCTTGGGTTGTCTGTTTTCTTTCTTTCTTTTTTGGCGCGCACTGGCACTAACACACCACTGGAGCCGGAGCTTGTTAGGAGAAGAATTCTACGAATACAAGCCCCTCTCACAGCAGACTGGCACGAACTAGCACCACAAAAGGCACAGCAGACAACGGCCCCTTATGGGCCGTCGAAGAGGCCGTCATACTCCTCCGGCCTCATGAGAAGAAAATACATCGGAGGCGCTATGCGCTGGTCTACCTACCTACCTACCTACCTGGTCTGTGAGAGGTTGACAGACGTGATCTGTGATCTGCTCCACCCAGTCGTTGGTCGGACTGTGTTTCGCCTTCCCATCAATGTATGTACCGTACCCGGCCGGGCGAGAGGCCGCGCTGATCCCACTCCTTACCACTCTCAGGGGCAGTAGGTGGGCGAGCTTCAAGCGCGCTCATCTCGATCGAGAAGGCGTCGCTACGCGCGGTTCCGCGGGGGAGCTTCGTCGACGGGTGGGGGTGGGGGACCGCAGCGCAGCCTCCAGGCCAGAGTGAGTGCAGAGAGGTTCTCGAGGTTCTCGAGGTGGATATCCTTTGGCCGCGTTGGGTAGCGAGGATTGGTGTGACGCGATCCACGCAGGCGTGTTTTCTGGCGGCCGACCGTCAGTGCACGGAGTTGCCCCTTCTCCGACTGCCCCGGCTAGTTCCCGAGGTCGTCGGGTGTGACCCTGCCTGCGTCCCCCGAGACCTAGCGCGGGTGGGTTGCCGGCACCATCGGGCGGCGCCACACGCGACACGGATGGAGGGAGTCGGGTTTGCCATCGGCGGGCCATGAGGGCGCTGAGAACTCAAGGCTGAGTTTTTGCTCCACTTTCGATGTGGCGGAGTATATTTTGGTAGGTTCGATTGACTCGTGTCGGCTGCCCAGATAGCAAGGCCCGAGAGGAAGTCATGAAACCCAGGCAGATCATCCGCGCTGCCGGCCGCGCGAGCCCGGCAGCACGAAGACGCTGCATCAGAATGGGAATGGTGTCCCTATTGCCGTGAATGCAAAGCCTTAATTTTGGCATTGCGATTTGGAATCGGAATCGCGAGAATCGCGAATGGCAGACGCGCCTGGCTGCCAGTGGCCGCCGCGGGGCGGCACGACCCCTTCACGCCATCCAACGTCGGACCCAACACGCCGAGGCAAGCGCGCGCCGACAGCTGCGATCCGGAGACATACTCTCTGTCTTGCCACAACAACGCATACTCTATATCGGCTTTACACACCTGGTCCTGCGGCTCTAAACGATTTAAACACAGCTAACCAACCCCAACTAATTCTACAGTCACACTCCATACACACTCACAGCTAAGTGACGTCACACAGATTTCACGTCTCACGAACACGCATACCGGACAACGCGCACTCCCACAAAATACCCCCCTGCAAAAATGTAAGCTGGGAAGGCACCCTCGTCACACACGCCTGAGATCACCAGATCCAGTCGATCCCGTTCGCAAGCGTGATTAGGACCACCGAGTTGCCTCGCACCTCTGGCGGGATGGCGGCATACTGCTCTTCGAGTGTCTGGGCGTCGCGATAAGTGCGCACCCACACGTGAAGCACCTGCTTGCGCCAACGCATGTTGAGCACATTGCGGCTCGAGATCTGGATCGCGCGCAGCTTCTTGAACAGCAGCCTGTACGCGTCCGCCGGCTGCAGCGCAAAGGTGGGCCAGTTGATGGCGCGCGTGACCGAGACGCCGACGGCGTGCTCAAAGAGCGTGACCGAGTAGTCGGTGATTTTTGAGCCCGAGAAGTAGTCGAGCTCCATCTCGGTCATCACGAGCCGCGAGCCAAACAGCCGCGCGAGCACCTCGCAACTCAGCGCCTCGGACTGAAGGGACGAGCCGCCTGCGTTGGGCACCGCGAGCATGCGCATCGCGTCCACCGACCAGCGCAGCTTGTAGCGCGGCCGGAAGGCCTCCACCTGCGTGTGGAGGAGCCCCGCAGCTTCGCGATGCGCGAGGAGCACACGCAGCCTCGACACGCCGTCGAGCGGCACCCGGAGAACCATGTCCTCGCCGACCAGGAAGCGGTGCCGGAAGAGTGTCTGCTGCATCTTCCGCGCCTGCGCAGCCGGCAACACGGCAGGCTTCTGTGTCGGCCACCGCCCAGCCTGCAGAGCAGGCTCGAGCGCTGCCTGCAGAGCTGGTTCGAGCGCCCGCGTTGACGGCACGCGCGACTGGAGAGTCAGCGATGCGAAGATCAGACACCTCATGTGGTAGGAGCACGGCTGGTGACAGAGGCAGTCCGGTGAAGCGTTTGCCGCGGTGATGACGGCTATAAGAACCACCGGTAATTGAATCTAAAAAAGAATTTTACAACAAAGGGCAAAAGAGTTTGGGAACCGCAAAATCGCTCCTCATCGCAAACCCTGTCAGCAGTTCACCTACGGGTATGTTCGTAAGAGCTACATACACTGAAAATATGGACCGACCAGCTAGTCCCTGTGTGGTGGCGGCGTGCCGTTCTCCCATCCCTCCCTTGCGTTGTCTCTTTTCTTTCTTTCTTTCTTACCAGCTGGGAGCGACTCCGAAGGCTTGCTTGCAACAGCTTGCAGAAGCAACGACTGAGCCGCGAGCCGCTAAGGTGGGGCAACGACCGATCCGCGAGCCGCCCGACATGGTGAATTCTTTTCCGGGCGACGCCGAGTAGGCCACAGCTGTACAACTCTCTCGTTGAGGATTGATTGGTGTGACGCGATCCACTTCTTTGTGTCCGCGTCCGCGCGTGCGTGTGCCTCAGGTGTCTGTCTGTCCGTCGGTCCGTCGGCCCTCCGTGAAGACAGACCACTCCCGGTCACCAGGGGCACGTACAAGTAGCGGGGTTGCGAGACCCACGCCAGGCCCTGGCGTCCTAAACTTGACGGCATGCACACAAACTACAAACCAAAGCGCGGTGGGTGAGATAGGGAGGTTTGCGACCGTGCGGCTCCGGGCACCTGTCGGCCAAAGGCGTGGCCGAGGGCCTTGACAGACTCGGTCTTGCCCGTGCCTACTCACGGTGGGCGGCGCATGACAAACGCGCTCGTTGGCCGCGAGAGGCGGCGCAACCTGCTGGTGCCGGCAGGGCCATATGGATTGCCACCGTAGCCAAGGTGCATCGCTTGCGTGAGGGTGAGATAGCACTTGTCGGTCAGCGGAGTGTGCACCAGCTTCGGTGCGTTCCCCTGGTACTCATAGCTGTAGTCGAAGGTGGCGCTGACCATCGACATAGTGACGTGGCCATCGCCGGGCCTGAGGTAGTAGCGAAGCTGAGAGCGCCACGTCCACGCGTCGAGCGCGCCGGCCTGTACTGAGAGGAGTTGATCGACCACCGAAACGTTGTGGATAAGGTCCAGCACGAGCGACTGGATCTTGAGGCCGAGCAGCGGCACCTCCGTCTCGTGCGAGGTGTAGCCGTGCAGCTTGGACAGGAGCTCCTTCTTGAGGCCCTCAAGGGCGGCTCGGCCGCGCGGGATGGCCTCCTCCGCCTGCTGCGTGAAGAGCACCATTTCTGCGATGCACAGCACCTGTGAGGCCAAGCCCTCGAGATCGAGCTGCGGCGCTCGCCGCGTCTCGAGAATGGAATCAACCAACGTCTCCTTCATTCCGGTTGCCAGCTGCTGCAGCCAGCCCTCGACGGCTTCGCTGACCTCCACCGGCTGCTTCAGTGGTACGACCTCGCCCTCCAAAGAGCACATGCCCGTGATGGCCTTGTCGCCAGGGGCAAACTGCACTTGGAAGATGCCGGCAAAGAGCTTCTTGAGGTGCGACTGGATCACGGCGGGGTTCTTGGCTTGCCCGAGGATCTCGAGCAGGTCGTCGTCGCCAATGAAGTAGAAACGCGGGAAGGACTGTCGCTTCTGCTCGAGGAAGTCGGAGAGCGCCTTTTGGCAGCGCTCGAGCTGGTCCAGGATCGCCGAGAGCGTCTCCGGAAGGTTGGACACGCGCAGCAGCGAGAAGACTCGCGGGTCGTCTGCAACGCCCTGCATGATCGATGTAAACTCCTCGTCAACCCGCGCGAAGCGCGGCTGTTCGTTCGGCATTGCGCCCCGCGCAAAGATGGGCTCGAGGTACACCCACTTTCGCTGGATGGGGTTGAGCTGCGAGAGCACGCGGTCGAGCAGCGCCAGCTTGGCCTCGTAGTGGGTGACGGTGTCGGCAAAGGTGCCAAAGAAATGAGACGCCTTGAGCGACCCGAGTAGCGCCTGGAAGTCGCAAACCTGCGTCGTTAGGTCCTTCCAGTCCTTGATGAGCGCCGTGCTGCGCCCACCGTTGCTGTACGATGTGGTCGAAAAGCGCGCGTCTTGTGCCCAAGCCGTCACCTCTTGGACCGCCTCACGGATCGCAACCTCGCCGGTCGCGCGGGCATTAAGCTCTTTGAGCTCGGCCTGGTTCTCGAGGAGTGCTCTCGTGCAGCCGAGGAAGTGGGAGAGGCGAAGATCTCCCAGCGGCACCTTTGGTATCCCGAGCGTGCGGAAGAGAGATGCCCAGTGCTCCGGCTGGAAGGCGTCGCCACGCACATGTTTCAACAGCGGGCCGAGCTGGCTGTAGCCGTCGAGCTCGGCTACAAGATGGCTGGCGATGGCGCCCGGCGGGCAGTCCGCAGCGCGCTCACGCCATGACGCGATGAGATCGTCAAAGACGTACGTGCGCTGGCGGAACGAGACCCAGTCCTCGGCCGCCAACGCCTCGAGCTCGCCCATGAAGGACTCGAAGAAGTCGCACGACGCGACGTACGACTCGATATCCGCTTTGATGTCGGCCAGTCCGGCAAAGTTCGGCGGCGGGAGGTCAAAGTGGCTACAGTCTCTCGCCAGATCATCGCTGGCCTCCACCACCTCCTTCAGCTCGGCCTGCCACTCCTTGATGCGATCGATGAGCGCCGCCATTTCGGCAGGCTGCGACGTGTCGAGCTTCTTCGGCTTGAGCTCGGTCCACCGCGCCGCGAACTTTTGGACCTTCAGGTCGACCTCACCCACGCGCGCCTCCATGCTGTTCCGGAGGTGGCCCATTTGATCCTCTAGGCGATCGTTGAAGGCGTCCACCGACACCTCGAGCTCTTCCCATCGGCTGAGCAGTGGTGCGCTGCTGACTCCCTCGCGCTGCCCGACTGTCCGCAGCAGCTTGTTGAGCTCCTCCAGCTTCGCCCGTACCAACATATCGCGAGCGGCGTCAAGGGAGGACGATTTGAAGCCGATCAAAGACCTGCTAAAGATGGCGGACCGTAGTCCGACGGACGTCGCCCAGACGTACATGCACGACCCGGCCATGACGAACATGACCGCCCTCACCAAGGGAACGAGCTACCTCAGGGGAAATATGTCTTGAAGGCAACAAGAACACTCCGGCCGCTTCGTTCTCAACGACAGCGCTCGCACAAGGCCGTCCTCATGGCGGAGGTGCGATGACGTATTAGACTACATTTGGAGGCAGAAAATGTTGCTGCAGGACAAGACTTCAAAGATCGAGAAATTGCAACAACTCCTACAGCTACACAGTGAAAGGCAACGCACGGAGCTACCGATTGGAGCAGTTTTGGTACCTTCTCCTGGGAAAGTTATTTAGGAGCACCCCCCTACCGCCGCCCAGTACGTGCTCCGCAGCTGAGCCCACGCACCCCACAGCAGCTCAGGGACACAATTAGCTCGCATACGAGTGCTGGTACGCACAGCTCGACGCGTACTTGAATGCTGCCACTGTCATTCTAGCCGGCGAGCGGCGGCGTCACAGCGTCGACTCTCGCATCGCGATGAGACGCACTGCTTGCCCAGACGCGCGCCTTGGCGCGCTCCTGTGGGGCAGGAGGAAGGCCAGCGGTTGTGCTGCGCAGGCCCGGCCGTCTGGCTGAAGGGAGCAGCAGCTGGCGCTCAACAGCAGCGCTGTCGAGCAGCGCAGCCACACCACACTCCCGCCAAGCCACGTGTCATTTCGCGCCAAGATTTGGCGCCAAAATGGTACTTTAGTGTCCACCTAGCCACGTGGTCGCGGCCTGAAGCTCCAAGCTTCTGGGACTGAGGTCCCACATCGCTGGACTCCATTTGGCTCAGTTGGAGGCACCGTCCAATCGTTCGCCGATGTCCGAAACCGGGGTGCTCCTAAATAACTTTCCCAGGAGAAGGTATGCGTCTTCCTCCTCTCTTGCCTGAAAACGTTGCGGGATTGGCTTCTGCCGCGGATCCATGGCGAGGTGCAAGGCCGTGCCTGTCAGAACAATCAGAGGGGTGGCCGTTCCCGCAGCACGACTGGTTCGAGTTCCAGTTGTTGTCGACGCGCCGAGACGGTTGACAACTTCACGGCTTGCCGCCTTCTCCGAAGTCTTACGGAGAGAGAGTTGAGAGAGAGATTTTTAGGAGACCAATAGTCCACAATTCACAACGCTTCCAATATTGTGTACCAGAGAGATAGGTGTGAGAGCTGTGGGAGCGGCCTCTTCAACTGAGCCAGTTGGTTAGAGGCGTGTGTGAGTGGTTGCTACTTTCAACGATCGGCGTCGTGTTGGTCCCAACACTACCCGTCGCAAAACACTTGCCGTTTGCGTCGCTGGCACTAGACGTGCCACGCCCTGGAGGGCGGGCCCGGCGCCACGTGGCGCCGGCCAAACCAATAAATAAATAAATAGAGCAGACATCTCCAGGAGAGATGGGCGACGCTCCAAGTGCACGAACACAGAGGCCAAACCGTCTAGTCGATAAATGAAGTACAATCCCGGAGTGGTTCGATCCCACATGAATCCGAGACGGTGATGGGAGGCGTCTCGGCGGTCTCAGACCCAGTGAGGTAGTACGCCAGACTACCCCGGATCCTGCTGAACAAGCTCCTCTTGTAGCTCGATCGGTCACACCGCCATCACCGTCGGTCGGTCGGGGAGAGGGGGGACGACACTGCTTCGGCAGCGTGCACCTCGATCCTGCACCGTGTTTGTTATGACCCCCCCCCAATGAACACACCAGTGAGGGAGGGCGAGACGATCGGAGGGGTCCCGTACCATGCGGAATCGACCCTATCAAAAGAAAGAAAGAAAGAAAACAGACACGCCAAACGAGGGATGGGACGAGGACAGGGTCCCCACCTGCACTAGCAGGATTTTGGAAGAACGATCAGGGGGACAGGTGGGACCCTATCAAGTGCTCAAGCGCAAGCGAGCACAATTTCTTGGAAAAGAGAAGTGCGATTCATTTAGGTGGTGGCGGAGGTAGGATCCATGTGTGGCCTGCTCGCTGTCTGCTTGGCCCTGCTGCCGAGCTCATCTGCGTTGGTAGCAAGCCCGCGCATCGCGTCGATTGCGAGCGTGACGCGTCGCACAATTGTGCTTGCGGCAGATGCGACAACGGAGCGCAAAGCAAAGCTCGCAGCCTTCAACGCCGAGCAGAAGGCGAAGCGGGCTGCCGCGGCGGCAGCTCGTAAAGGAGGCAGCAAGGCGGCCGCGCCCAAGCCCGCCTCCTCTTCGCCCTTTGCTGGCATTTTTGGCGGCG